TAATACCCACTTGACCTGGCTTCAATGACTGGATGATCAGAGCTCAACTAGAAGAAGAAAGAAGAGGAAGAAAAGAGTAATGTGACACAATTTGATTAACTTGACCTACACCCATGGATGCAGTAGCTCAAAAGAGGAAACAAATCTTTACAGTGAGGATCATTCCCACCCTCTCCATACACAGAGTAGACAGGGATGGGCAACTTCGACATTGGCTACCCAAAATGGGGAACCTACAAAGGCAAGAAGTGACTGGCTTACAAGCTTTCAACAGGGCACCTAGATCCAGAGGGCGTGGAGGAAGGTAGAATCTCCACTGAGTAGTATCCAATCTGTCTAGGCGGGGCTGATGAAAGGAAATGCGGACAGGTCTCTTATGATACAATAGTGAATAATTGTTATCAGGACTGATTGTGAGGGTTGGAAATGTAAAGGTAGACGTTTTGTAGCAAGGAGGGGAGTGATTAACTTTGCAGTCTAGGAGCGGAGGTCCCTGGGACCATCGAAGGAGAAGAGTGGAGAGCGGGCCCCTACCCAGAGAAGCAGTGACGCCAGAGATGGAGGCCGAGATGATGAAAACGTGGAGAGATGGAGCAGCTGGGGACTTTAGATCCAGAGAGGGAGAGGGACTGTGTGCTTACGATGGGGGGCAGGCTTGAGGGTGTGCCCTTTGGTTGGTTGATGATACATGGAGGGGATTGTAACCATGGCAATGAAACGATACACGATAGGATGAATGTAAAATTAATGTTTTCCCATGTAAACTGTCACATAATTCACAATAAATCATTTTTTTTTAAAGATAGCTATAAAGGAACACTGGTAGCATAGTGGTTACAAATTGGGCTGCAAACCTCAAGGTCAGCAGTTCGAAACTACCAGCTGTTCTGCGAGAGAAAGATAAGGCTTTCTGCTCCTGTAAAGATTTACAGTGTCAGAAATCCTGTACAGGGTGGCTATGAGTAGGAACCGACTCCACGGCACATAACCACCACCACCAAAGACAACTATAAGTCACTTTCTTCATAAGTCACAAGAATTTTTGCAATATATAATCTAATCATTCTCATCTGGTAGTGGTGCCGTGTATCCATTATAATTTCCCACTTAAATCCTTAAATTCCCTCAGCCTATTATTAAACAAAATCTGTGCCATTCACGTCACACAGCTGTGCCTTTCTTCTGTAACTGGGATTAGGAAAACAAACCTCTAATGCTTATATAATATATAGTATTTTGAAACAATGATTTTGTTTATATTTTTCTTTCAACTATACTGTTCTGACTTAGAAATCATCTGCCTGAAATACCTAAGACTAAGCATGGATTCTATACCACTATAAGGACCTGCTTTCCAAGGTTACTGTTCAGATGTTGTGCCCCTATGTAGCTTGGCATCAAGGTTCCTCTTAAACTCTGTTGCCCTATTTATCATGCAGCAGGATGCTTAAATCAACCACCCAGGTCTGTAATGAACAAAGCAGTTTACAACCATTATGTATAGTCATCTTTTTCTCAACAGTGTTATGAATACTACTGAGATCAAGGCTATTAACAAGCTGTTATCTACAAGAGCTGAAAATTGTTTGGAAAGAAATATTAAAACTAAAACTGTTACTGTTTGTTGTTAAATGCTGTTGAGTTGGTTCTGACTCATAGAGACCCTATATAGGGTTTCCAAAGAGTAGCTGATGGGTTTAAACCATTGACCTTGTGGTTAGCAGTCCAGTGCTTATCATGCAGCACACCTGGACTCAAAACTAAAACTAGTCACCTGTTCATTTCCACCTACAAAACAGACTCAAGAGTAACAAAGAAGGAAGGTGAGCCAGCTACAACCAAAGATCATGTTGGAAAATACACTGTCATGTGTCTCAAGTATTTCTAGTCATTGAAAATATTGAATAAATGCTTTGTTTTATTAGTAAAAAACAAAAAAGTTACCCTAGTTAATGACAAAGTTTTATTAAAATCAGGACACAATCATCACTCACTAATTTTTGTTTTGAAGTGTGCAATATATATGTGGTGACAGAGATATTATGAAAGCTTATATTTACCACATCTTAAAACTACCTTTGATAAAGAACATTAAAGACTAAAGGATCTCGGTAATAAGAACACAAGAGCTCCTCTACTTTAGTTTTGGAACAAAAAAGGACAGCATTTATGCAGTGCTAATATTACATTTGAAATAACAATGTAAAAATACCATAAAAGAAAATGTATATTTCATGTGTGAGTCCAAAATCTACTGTAAAGGAAACTAATTTTCAAGGCAGGAATGTGCTACCAACAAAAATAAGCTTTTCACAAGAAAATGTAAACACTCAAGTTCTAGTTTCATTTCTTTTCTACATAAGAAAATTAGCAACAGAAAAGAATTCAGAATTTTAACAACTAAATCAGATAAACATCTAGCAAACAGTTTAAATAGTTAAGAAATTTATAAATAAAAAAAGATCTTTTTTTTTTTTTCCCACAACAGTAGTATATTTATTGTGCTGAATCAGGTAGCAGGGAATGAATAGCTTTAGGAAACCAGTACAGAATGTTCACAAAGATTTATAAATCTCTATTATACACTCAGCAGCAAAAACAAAGGTGTTGAATCCTCTTAGACCAACCTACTGTCTGTGCAAATCTGCTAAAATTCTTATGGCCGCATGCCTTTGGGAAAAAAAGTGTATGATTTTAATGCACAATAAATATTTTCTAGTTTACAAATTATTCTGAAGTTGTTTGCACAAACAGCATACATTCTGCACATGCAGTTTTGACATGTCGTCACGAGAAACTTAGAAATAGTCATGCTTTTTTGTCACACTTTCTCTTTCTAAAATGATCCCTGTGTAACATCCCATAACAAAGTAACCTATCTAATAAAACACAGTACAAATTCTTTTCCCTAGTGAATTTCTAATTGTTCCCTTACACATATTACAAGTAGTACATGAAATACTTCATTTGTAAATAGCAAATTTAATTTTATAATTCTGACTACTCATTCTTACTCATTTTGTGTTTTAACGACTAACAACTTGTAACATCAAACACTGAATTTAATGGTCTTTAGCACCAAGGAGTCAAGAATATTGCACCAAAAGGGGTTTACACTTCATATCTAGTTAATAAATAATATCTTGCAACTTAGTTACAAGGAAAAGCATCACTCCAAAATTAAATACATTGAAAGGGGAGGAGAGTTTCACAGAAAAATTGTGTGTATGCTATTTTTAAAAAAGTAAACCAACCAGCCAACCAATGAATTCAAGTTAATATGATTACATTTTACGTTAGAGGACTCCTTGATTTAATTAAAATTTATTTAATTTTAAATGTTCTTTCCAACATAAGAGGTAGGTATATTTCCATAGATGCAAAACTAGTAACAGACATAAGTCAAAATAAAGAAAGCCTGATAAAAATCAACACACTCTCTTCTAACAGCACATGAATGTGACTATTTTGTGATGTTATTAAGACATGAGTTGCTTCATGTTCCCATCAGACAATAATCGTACTTTCCATCATATATTTCTGATAGTAATAGGAGTATTCAAAGGCTACTTTTTTATCACAAAAATTGTTTACCACAGCGATTTGTGCCATATCACGGTGATTGATCTTTGGATCACCAAACAGGATTCTACTGTAATTCTTTCTTATTTCACCAACACCATCATCATCAAACCTCTATGAATTTACAAGAATCAGTAGATTTTTAAAAATTTAATTATAATCAATAGGGAATACTTAGACAAGAGGTGGAGCGAGTCAACCATTCTGGTTAGCACATAAATCAAAAGCGCAAATTTTTCTACATTTCCAGCTTTGTACCAGAAAATGTAACATAACTGATTTTAATCAATAGGTAGCTAGTGACATAGGCAAAAATATTCTTAATGACTATGCTTCTGTGATCCTCTAAAAATCAGACTGAGGAATGAATGTATCTAGAAAGATGCATGGAAAATCTCATCCATTAGACAAATAGATGTGAGCAGAGAGGGAGGGTGTTCAAAGTCACATGATGATAGCTTTAGTCTAAACAGCATCAAGGCTAATTAAAAAAAAAAGTTTAAAATAAAAACTTCATAAATAAAACACCTGGATATTGCATTTAACACTTTACTCACTCTAAAGGTACTAGTACATATAGCACATAGGCCTTTTCTCCCTCTCCTCCCCCAAGCCCTCATGTGTTTGTTTTCCCTGAAATTTTATATGAAATGGGAGTTTTCTCACTGTCAACAACAATTAAGGCCCAGTTCAGTTTACTCTCCTTTTGCTTTTCCATTTTTCTGCTTTTTTCCATTTTCTATCACTAACTGTTTTTCCGATTTGTTCACACCATTTGCTGAAATACCATTCACAGCTGTTTTTCCAGTTTTTGATTTCCTAGGCACATTGTATGTCCGGACATAGAAGTTAAGAAAGAGAAATATGAAGCTGATGGCATAGACAATCAGAGCCCAATGCATCCACTTTGGGAAGGGACAATCATTCCAAAGAGATAATGCTGTGTGTCCAATGGTCACATGGAACTGAATCTGAAAAACAAAAACAATCCAGGATCACTTCATGAGTAATAATAATAGTTCTCTGGCTCCTTCTCATTCAGTTCACAGTCCAAATGCCATCTTCTAAGCAAGGGCTTCCTGACTATTTGAATTTAAATAGTTTCCACCCAAATGGGCACTTACTATCCCAATTAACCAATATATAAATATTTGTTGTGGTGGTAGTGATTGTTATTTTTCCCTTTATAAAAGTCACAGCTATCTGAAATTATCTTTTACATTTGTTTCCTGTCCATCTTTCCAGTAGAATGTAACTCTAAGCAGGCAGGAATTGGTCATGGTCATTGACGATACCGAGTCCTCAGTACAGTATCTGGATTCAATGAAGACTTACTATATAATGCTATCTTGAGAGAGAATATCTATGGCCATTAAAAAAAAGTAAAATGTTGGAGGTTCAAGTCCATTCAGAGGTGTCTCTGAAGAAAGCCCTGATAACCTATTTCTGAAAACTCAGCCGCTGGGATCCTTAAGGAGCACACAGATCTACTTTGACGTAGCTGGGGTTGCCATAAGTTGGAATCAACTGGTTGACTTACGCTTTATAGAATTCACATTGTATTTGTAGCAGACAATTGTCATTTCTCTTTTAAAGATAGCATTATCAATATTAACTATTATTATTATAAAAATAATTTATTCCACACAAGTCAGAAATTTATATCAGACTTTAATAAATACAAAATCCAGATTTTAAGAGCTTTTGGCTTCACAATAGTTCTTAGCACTTGCATCACCGGAAAAGGGTGTAATTGAGTATGGAATTGCTCAAGAAGAGCAAGGTGCAGGCTCCCCCCAGGCTCTTCAAATAAGATATAAAATAGTTCACATAATTTTTGACATCTCTTCATTTTCTCATTGCTGTTGTTATGTGCCATGGAGTCGGTTCCGACTCATAGCAACCCTGTACAGGGTTTCTGAGGCTATACATCTTTACGGAACCAAAAAGCCTCATCTTTCTTCCGTGGAACAGCTGGTAGTTTAGAACTGCTGACCCTGAGGTTAGCAGCCTGATTCGTAACCACTACGCTACCAGAACTCATTATCAGTTATTAATTAACAGGTAAAAAACAAATTATACAAACTGTATAAACAACTTGCACAAAATACTGAAGGAAAATTCTGGTAGCATTTTAGTTTCAAATGAATCCTTCACACCCAGCATTCTACATAAGTTGTGCTTCCTGTTTGGTTAGCCCACTGTGTAAAAAAACAAGAGATGGATAATATTCCTATATGTGATTCCACTGATAAAACTATGTACATGCTATGACTAAAGCAAATTATAATAAATTCCAAGGCTTAAAGAATAGCTACCAGGTTGGTTTTAGATTTTCAGTTTGATTACAGGCTAGTGTCTACCTCTGTATGTTACACGGACACACCCAAATGCTACAAGAAGTCCTACTAAGGGATACACAATGAAAACTGTCACATTTGAAAACAATCTGGCTATCTATGGACTAGGTTTTAAAGAATTAAGAAGCGTTTTCTGGCTCTTATTTCTCTCCCTTTAAACTGTCTCTTGGCCCTGTTTTCTTTTTAACTTTTATATTCTAAACATATGGGATCTGCCAAGGACTGAAAAATAGAAAAGAAACCATAACACTTAAGCAATTACAATAAATAATAGAACTGTTGATTTTTAAAACATCACCAAAGACAAAATATTATTTTTTTTCTATTTCATATGTGAGTCTATGTAATTGTAATGTGACTTATTCAGTCATCCATTTCACAGATATTTTAAAAGACTGTTTCTCTTGAAAAGTTTTAAGTGCTAGGCTAGACATGTAAAAAGAAGAGGCTGTTACTATTAGGTCTATGAGTAGGTGGTTATAGTAGAGTCTCAACTACTAAGATTAAAGAAACCACTAGAGAAAGTTAATTGAGTTATAGGAACTTGTTTAAAATGGCTCAATATTTTCCAATTAATAAAATTAAAACATTTTCAGAGTTTCACCAGAAAAAATACCTTCAAAGGTATTTAACTCACCAGCTGCAACATGGTCAGATAGCGTTTCCACCAGAGATACTTCTGAATCCAGGGGCCAAGAGCAGACAGTGCATAGTATGAATACATAATCACATGAATAAAGGAATTCAGCTGGGCTCCAAAAAATGCTGTAGAGAAACAAGAAATCATTGCAAATTACAGAAAATGTTATGAAGCTATAATTAGAATATATAAATAAACCTACATTTTTTTCTAACATTTAATCTTGAGGAATAAAAGATTTAGTGCTAATGGAAAAGTCTTTCCCTCAGATCAAATTACTTAGTTTAACACTTTAGATTTAGGTTTTTATCATATAGATAACAGCATGTATCATTCTAATGGAAAGGATCTTCAAAGTGGTAAGTTTAACATTTCAAGTTTTAAATGGCACACTCCAGTGAGCTTGTTGTTGTTGTTAAGTGGCATCAAGTCGATTCCGACCCATAGCAACACTGTATAGGGTTTCCAAGGAGCAGCTGGTGAGCTTGAACCACCGACCTTGCAGTTCAAATGGCTTTGCAGTCTAGCGCATTATCCTACAGCGCCACACCAGGACTCCATTATCACCATTGTTGTTGTTATGTGCCATGGAGTCAGTTCTGACTCATAGCGACCCTGTACAGGGTTTCCGAGGCTGTAAATCTTTATGAGAGCAAAAGCCTCATCCTTCTCCCGCGGAACAGCTGGTAGTTTCGAACTGCCGACCCTGAGGTTCGCAGCCCAATTCGTATCCACGACACTACCAGAGCTCTTTATTACCATTAGATTGGTCACTATACATATGTATAATAAAATAACACTTATTTCTCAGGTTTTTGAATACTTTTTAAATATTTTAGCAATACATGCAGCGACGCTACCTGAAAAAGGTTGGTGGCTCAAACCTGCCAGCCACTAACAAGGGAGAAAGATGAGGCAGTTTGCTTCTTTAAAGATCAACATCCTTAGAAACCCCATGGAACAACTAGATGGCAGTGTGTTTTGATTTGGTTTTTTGTTACACACAATGAATAATTCACTTAATAAATATAAATTTACAAAGATATTCCAGTTAGTCTAAATCAATGGCATTCTTTCTCTTCAGAATAAGAATTAAATCAAAGTATATATTATAACAAAAATAAATCATCATAAAGTGTTTTAAGAGTTCAGTTCAGATTTACTAATTTTATTTTTAAAAATACAATGCTTTACACTTTAGCTGTATTTTAAATTGGTCCCCAGTAATAATTTATAAGTGTGAAATCTAAAGCTGATAATTTTCATAATATGACAATGGAAGCAGCAATAACTTGTATCCTGAATCCTCATCAGAAGAGTAGTTTGCTTCCAATTCACTAACATGACTCATCCTCCTCAAGCTGCAGGCATTTAAAAAGACCGGGGCCAGATCTGGAACAAGCTGTAAATTCAGACCCTTTGACATTAACAAGGCTACATAAATATCCTTGTGTATAAGAACTAACAATGTCTTCTAAGTCTTATGTTAGAATAAGAGTGGGCTCTGGCCTTGACTAAAAATGGAGTCTTCAGACTATGGGATTGTATCTTGGTATCCTTTGGATCAGAACTATGAGAACTGCTCTGTATCAAAATATTGTTTTCTCATTTAAGCTTGGTTTATGCTCATCTCTGGAGTACATCTTTAGATGTTGAAATTGTCAGAGGTAAAAAGCTAACACTTCAATGTCTTCAAATTTTTGAAAAATGAAATTAAGCAGAAAAACTAACCAGAAAAGTCAAATGGCATACCAAGTCAAATTCCCAAACTCCCAATACTTTCCACCCAAGACATTTATTGTGTCTTTTACTCTATGTAAACATAACTCTGAAAAGGCTCACCTTGTCCCCCTGCCACCCACTTAATTCCAATCCACCACAATGTAAACATTGTACAATGGTGATAAACATGAAGGAAAGAAACTTGGTTGTTTTTCTTCCTTAGGATAAAAAATACTGTGTCCAAATATTCAACTCCTTTAGATACAAAGTACCACCACAAAGCAGCAGCTATCTGTAGAACGAAAAGAAAGGTATGCGGTAAGCACCATTCTGACACTATCTCATGTTTTTCTACTCATTGTAAATATGCCTTGAAGTCGGTTCCAAGAAATAGAAAATAAAGGGCTACCCAGTGCCAATGATTCAGAGACAATTCTTTGTTAAAGATGTCACATAGTTACAAATGGATGAAAATATATTTGTAATACATTTACAATGGTAAGTCTTTCAATTTGATGAAATATCTGAGGTGTTTACGTTATAAAGACATTTTTGATTTTTCAGGCTTAGTGTACATTATACCTGAGCTAGACTTACAAGTTAAGTTTGCATAGTAAACTGTGTCTGTCTCTTTCTCACTTCAAAGTGTGCAGAAAATAAACACAGTAGTTTGTTCTAAATTGTAAAAGCTTTTTAATTATAAATTTAAAAAAAAAAAAAAAAGTAACAAACATTTCATATCCCTAGGTCATAAATATAATCCTGCTTGCATGCATAAATCCTGTCTTTTCCTGGGCTCTAATTATGACACCAGATGGTATAGATTACATTAAATTCTGAGATTAGGGATCCAGGAGAGGTAACCTCTGTATATATGTTTTTTTAAAAAAATTTTACATGAATCCTATTACAACAGTAACCTAAACTTTATTTATGTTCAATGTTTTCTATGATAACTTAAATCTGATAACCAAAGAAGCAGTTTTCACGGTGCAAAAATCTTCTAATAAGGAAAAGAAGTTAGGGACATAAAATATTAAGCATATTCAAGCAATTTGGTATTGGGTCTTATGAACACTGATATTTATATTGTCATCCCCTATATCAGAAAGCTATTTTTTCCAAAGGAAGCTAATACCATGTTTTACAAATCAAATAAAAACTGAATAATGTGTGGTTTCTTTCATCAGAATATAATGGTAACTATACTAACATCTTTACTAATAACTGCAAAATAAAATGTTAACATATTAGTAATGGCCTATTTTCCAGCAAATATATTTAAAACAGCATTCATACCTATACAAATCATGCTGCCTTTAATTTGCTATATATTATATTGTTGCTGTTGTTAAGTACCAATGAGTCAGTTTCAGCGACCCTGTCTAGGATTTCTAAGGAGTGGCTAGTAGGTTTGAATCTCCAACTTTGAGGTTCAAACTGGCCTTGCGATTCAGTGCTTATCCTACAGGGCCACACCAGAACTCCATAAAATATATAAATATTCATTTTCCTAAAACTTTCTTAACAAATTAATTAGACCCTCGTTTGGGTTTGTGGCACTCTGACATAATACACTGGGACCGCAAGGTCGGTTTGAACTGCAAGGTCAACGGTTCCTATTCCTTGGAAGCCCTATACAGGGTTGCTGTGAGTTGGAACCAACTCAATGGCACTTTACAACAACAAAATTCTTAACTAAAAACAAAAACAAAAAAATCTAAAATAATATCTTTACCCTAAACAAAGAACTTCTATCTTTTTTTAAATACAGAAATTTCATTCTAGTAATCGAATACATTCACTCTTATATTCCCAAATAAAAGATGAAAGATTATATTGAAGGTATGAAAGCAAATTTTCAATTACATATTCTTAGCTTTACTGATTCTAAATGATCCCGTATAAATTTCACTACCACATGAAAGTACACTTTCATAGACTGGGACCTATACAATTTAATCTGCTTTACCTGTTAAAAGTACTGTTGATATACTTACCCTGACTTCATGAACATTATTTGAGTAATCCACACTCTGGCAAACATAGCTGTATCCTGCATTATATGATCCCATGAATAACTGGGAGGGAAAGGAATATTTAAAGTTTTAGTAGATGCAGCATTAAAAACAAATTATATTACTTTAATATAATTTTCCAATTATTTTAAAAACAATGTTTTCTTAAAAAAATTCAAATGTAAGTAATAAAAATTCCAAATCATTAAACATAATTTAATGCACCCTAATGGTAGCATAGAGTCCTGGTGTGGCACTGTGGGTTAATGCGCCCGACTGCAAAGCCGTTTGAACTGCAAGGTCGGTGGCTCAAGCTCACCAGAAGCTCCTCGGAAACCCTATAAAGGGTCATTATGGGTTGGAACTGACTCAACGGCACTTAACAACAACAACAATGGTAGCATAGTAGTTATGAATCGGGCTGTGAATCTCACGGTCAGCAGTTCGAAACAATCAGCTGTGCCGTGGGAGAAAGATGAGGCTTTCTGCTCCCGTGAAGATTTACAGCCTCAGAAACCCTGTACAGGGTCACTATGAGTTGGAACCGACTCCATTGCACACCACCACCAATTTCCAAAAGACACTGTCAATTTTATTTTATAACTAAAATATAAATTTAAAATCACATGTAACTTTTGTATTGAGACATCAACTCTACCTCATAATATTAAGAGCAATTTTGATTATCGTGATTGCCATCTAAGAACTGTTGTTGTTAAGTGAGGTCAAATGGGTTTCAACCCATAGTGACCCTGTATAGGATTTCCAAGGAGCAGCTGGTGAACCTGAACCACCAACCTTGCAGTTCACACTGACTTTGCAGTCCAGAGCAGTATTAGTTATAGCATACCCTGCTTTAGATGGTTTCTAACCTTGATCTTGAGAGTATGGTGGCTCTGTAGGATGAACACTGAACTGTAAACCACTGGTTCAAGCCCAACAGCTGCTCCTCAGGAGAAAGATAAGGCTTTCTGCTTGCACAAGGCTGCTATGAATCAGAACTGACTTGACAGCACTTAACAATTCTTGATTCAGAGTGGCCTGCATTTAACAAACTGGTGAAGTATCCAAGTAGAGTTTTTATGAAATTGAGATTCTGTAAAGCTAAGTTGTCAAAGGTTTTTTTGTTTTGTTTTAAGAAAATTAGTATTTATTTTCATTGTCAGTCCTGTTTTCTGGATCATTAAAATTTTTAAGTCTGAATAGTCTTTTAGGAAACCAATTCCTTATACTCTCTTATCTTTAAAAATAGTTGTACTGACTTCTAGCTTATCTTCCAAAATGTCATGGAGAATTTGCTGGGGTCCAGAAAGCACATGATTAGTAGCCACAATGTGAGATATAATTTTATACCTTACCTCACTTATGTTCCCACCCAAAATGTAATAGATCTAAGTTGACCTTGGTATTTTACATCTGCATATTTTGATCAGTAAAATCAAACCTAAAACTACTGGTTTTAAAATGATAAATAAGTAACTTCTATTTACTGAGTTGCTTAACATATGCCAAAAGCAAAATTTACTTCACTTATTTTTAATAATAACCCTAATAAAGTAGATATTATTACCATTTTATAGATGAAGAAAATGAATTTGAAAAAATTTCCAGTATCAAAAGAGCTAGTGTTATCTGATTCAAAAATTGTATACTTACACTAGTATATCCCTTTATTGCATATACACATATATGTGCATATATATACACGAGTATGCAGTCCTGGTGTGGCACTGTAGGCTAATGCGTCAGACTACGAAGTCATTTGAATTGCAAGGACGGTGGTTCAAACCCACCAGCTTCTCTTTGGAAGACCCATACAGGGTCGCTATGGGTCAGAATCAACTCAACAGCAGTTAACAACAACAATGCAGTCCTGATGGTACAGTGATTAACTGCTCAGCTGCCAACCCAAAGGTCAGAAGTTCGAACCCACCAGCTGTGCCATGAGAGAGAGAGATGTGACCGTATGCTATCCTAAAGATGTACTGCCTTGGAAACCCTACGGGCAGTTCTGCTCTGTCCAACAGTGTCACTGTGAGTTGGATTCAACTTAATGATAGGTTTGGTTATTTTGGTTTGGAACTGTTGTCTAAGGTTCAATGAAGGCTTCACACATTATCATTTTTAAATTCCCATGTCCCTAGGGAATTATCATATGACAACCTTAAACTTACCTCTCTGAAGATATAAAAATTAAGTAAAACCATCCCAAAATTGTAGAGAATGAGCACTAAGCGCATCTGAAAAGGTTCTCGGTTCTTCATCCATTTTGGACCCAGCCACACAAATAGGAGATAAAGGGTACTTATACTTAGTGTAGGCAATGGAGACTGCATCAGAGGCCAATCTTCTACACGTTTATCTGCAGAGAAAACAAAATAATATCACATTTATTAGACAAATATTTTAGAAAATGAAATGATTGGAATTATAATATTTGAACTTAATTTTCTAATTTAACCAAGGACAGATCGATTGAGTCCTAGCAAAATATATATATAAAAAATCAAAGAAACAAAATTGACTCCTATGAGTCGCTTTTGAAAATTAAGTTTCATTACTTACAGTGTTTTACAAAGAACCTAGGAAACAAAGACAGCAAATAAAGTGTATTGAAAATACAAAAGATAAGCTTGGAATGAAAAGTAAATGAAAGATTTCAAAGACTAAAAACAAATCTTTTAAGGAAAAATTTCTCTCTACGTCCATGCCTGACATAGAAAAGAACTATATAGTACAATGGAGATGTGTGGGGCAATGGAAGTCATTACCTGCTTTATGTTTGGTGCTACATGTTTTTAATGCTGCATCCACTAAAACTTTAAATCTCCCCCCTCCTCCCAGTTACTCATGGGATCATATAATGCTGCATACAGCTATATTTGCCAGAGTGTATCTACATTCAGATAATGTTCATGAAGTCAGGGTAAGTAAATCAACAGTACTGTTAAACAGGTGAAGTAGATTAAATCGTATAGGTCCCAGTCTATGAAAGTGTACTTTCATCTGGTAGTGAAATTATACTGAATTGTTTAGAATCAATAAAGCTATGCTTTACTTTAAGAATATGTAATTGAATATTTGCTTTCATACCTTCAGTATAATCTTTCATCTTTTATTTGGGAGTATAAGAGTAAATGTATTTGATTACTAGAATGAAATCTCTGTATTTTTTTTTTTTTAAAGGTTCTTTGTTTAGTGTAAGGATATTATTTTAGATGTTTTTGTTGTTTTTAGTTAAGAATTTTGTTGTTGTTAAGTGCGGCTGAGTTGGTTCCAACTCACAGCAATCCTGTATAGGGCTTCCAATTAAGGAGTTATGGTGGTGCCATGGATTAGTTGTTGACCTGCTAACTACAAGGTCAGCAGTTTGAATCCACCAGCTGCTCCATGGAAGAAAGATGAGGCTTTATGCTCCCATAAAAATTTAGAGCCTCAGAAACCCTATACAGGCTTACTAGGAGTGGGAGCCAACTCAACAGCCTACATCATCATCACCAAAGCAAATATTGCAGCAAATCAAGTTGAGGATCAGAAGACATTCATAAAACTTAGGCTAAGTATTTATTTACAAACATTAGTTTGTACAAATTTATCTGTTTGTAAAGGTCTCATGATGGTTACACGACTGTCAAAACTCACACTGTTAACTTAAAAAATCAATTTTACTAAGTATAACTAATACCTTTTTAAAAGATGAAAAGAAAATGATCCACCTTAGGAGGGGCTTCATTCAAAACACCTTTTGCCAACAGACCTTTATCCTTACCCTGTTTTGTATTCTAAGATCACAAAGCAGTATAGACAAAAGAGAATTTGAAGTCAGAATAGAAAAGAATTTCAGCTAAGTGATCTTGAACAAGCTACTTGGTCTCTGCCCTCTCAAAGTTTCCCATCTATCAGAGAAGCAAACAAACAGGAAAATCCAATGCTATCCAGTATGCTGCATGAAACATTTGAAGTGTTTAAGTACAGTGCTAAGAAAAAGGGGATAAGGCAGGCTTCGCAGAGCAGACAGTTGAACTGTTTCTCCAAAAACAAAAGGAATTTGCCAAGCAGACAAGGAGGGAAGAAAGCCTTCTTGCACAGAGAACTGTATGTATAAACAGACTGTTGTTAAAGTGTCTTTGAGTTAAGTTCTGACTTATAGCGACCCTGTATAGGGTTTCCGAGGAGTGACTGATAGGTTTGAACTGCTGGATTATACGAAGAATATGGCAGTAGGATTGGAGGAAGACTCATTAACAGCCTGCAAAATGCAAGTGATACAACCTTCTTGCTGAAAGTGAAGAGGACTTAAAGTACAGATGAAGATCAAAGACTACACATAGTCTTCAGTTTAGTACATCAAATGATGTACTGCATTAGGCAAATCTGCTGCACAAGACTTTAAAATGTTGAAGAGCAAAGACATGAGTTTGAGGACTACAGTGCATCTGACCCAAGTCAATAACCTCATCTACATATGAAAGTTGGACAATGAATAAGAAAGACTTTAGAAGAATTGATACATTTGCGTTATAGCCTTGGAAAAGAGTATTAAAGGTATCATGGACTGCCAAAATAATAAACCAATTGTGTTTGGAAGAAGTACAGCTAGAATGCTCCTTGTAAGCCAGGATAGCCAGACTTTGTCTCTCATATTTTGGACATATTATCAGGAGGGACCCTAGAGAAGGACATCATGCTTGGAAAAATGAGAGGTCAGAGAAAAAGAGGAAGACTCCAACAAGATGGATTGGCACAGTGGCAGCAGCAATGGGCTCAAGTGTGGCAACGATTTGAGGTTGATTAAGGACCGGGCAGTGTTTTGTTCTGTTGTTCATAAAATCACCGTAAGTCAGTACTGACTCAATGGCACCTAACAACAAACAACAGCATGACTGTGTATGAACTACAGTTTTCTAATATGTAAAAGGGAGTAATAAAAATAAAACAAACTATTCTGACTCATGGAAATCCCATGTGTTTCAGAGTAGAAGTAAGCTTCATGGGGTTTGTAATGGTTGTGAAATTTTTCTCAGGTACCTCTGGGTAGACGCAAACCAACAACTTTTTAATTAGGAGATGAGCACTTAACCAACTGTACCATTCAGGGAGTCCAGACATTTATCATAAAATTATCCAAATCACAAGGTTTCTCTGAGGCTAAAACTGTAAACGCTGTAAAAAATCCCTTCCAAAATGAACTCTTTATATACTTAAGAGTATTAAATATGGCTATCATCAGAATTTTTTTAAGCACTCTGTTAGCATTTCCATCATAATATGCTACTTGCCCTGTCACTGGCTGTTTCCCACATCTGACTGGGCAGGGCTGTATCTTTTATCTCTGTGGCCCCAGAGGCTTGGATAGCAGAGGAACCTCACAAATGGTGGAGGCCTGATTGTGTCAATGAAAGCCATAAAACCCCAAACCAAACCATTGCCCATCTAGTTGATTCTGATTCATGGTGAGCCTGTAAGACAGAGTAAAACTGTCCTATAGCGCTTCCAAGGCTGTAGTCTTTTAAAAGGTTGGCAGTTCGAACCCACCAGCTGCCCCCATTTTGTGGGAGAAAGAGATAGTAGTCTGGTTCTAAAAAGATTTACAGCCTTGGAAACACTATGGGGAAGTTCTTCTCTGTCCTACAGTGTTGCTATGAGTCAGAATCAACTCAATGGCAATGGGTTTGGTTTGCGTTTGGTTTTAATCAAGTCATAAAGCATAAATTAATTTAATTTGGTATTCTAATAGAGTTTACATCTGTTTATTGTTATTATTAAGTGCCGTCAAGTCAGTTCTGACTCACAGAGTCTCTGTATAAGGGTTTCCAAGGCTCAGCTGGTAGGTTTGAACTGTCAACTTTGCAGTTAGTTAGAAGTCCATTGCTTATCCTACAGTGCCACACTAAGACTCTACACAAGTCTAACAATCACTTATAACTATTGAATGTTGTTATAGCTATGAGCATAAATTCAAGGATATCAAGATGTGTGTATGTACTACCATCCATTACGCTCTAAAATTAATCATTCTTTTGATAAGTTAGAACCAAGAGTTACATATCAACTTTAGTTTTATACCTAAATATGAACACCACTAATATGCTAAGTGATATTGTTAGAAATAGTTTTGCTTTTGCTAATTACAAACAAAAATGGTTACCATGAATACAATGACACCTTGTACACAAAGAAGACTCCAAAGAGCAACTAATTTTTTGTTAAGGAGGCAGTCAGTGTCCTCATTTATTATAAATGTTATGAGGGCACATCCTTTATGCCATGCTATAACAATGCAAGATGTGTAAGAGTCATCCAACATTTGTGAAAATAAATTTTTAACTCAAAATGTAGACAACTATTGTCAAGAAGGGTTTGGGAAAGATCATGTCTCCAAGACAGTAAATTAGACAGTTCCTTAAAGATTTTAACCTGAAACATAATGTTTAACATATTCCTCAAGCCAAATAAGAACTCAAATATCAGTGAGGCAAAAAAAAGGCAGAACTAAAGAAGAAAGGTCTTTCACACAACTAAACAAAATGGGACAGATAATCTGAGATATACTCCAAAACTAAAACAGAGCCTGAAGGAGGTGGGTAAAGGAGAGTCAGATCAGTTTTCTATTTTGTCAGCGTGATAAACACTCAGTCCTTGAGTTGATTCCAACTTTAAGTGACACTACACAACAGAGTAGAACTCTCATAGGGCTTCCAAGACTATAAATCTTTAGGGGAACAGACAGCCTCATCTTTCTACTTCGGGGCAACCGGTAGGTTTGAACCACCAACTTTGAGATTAGCAGCCCAATGCTTAACCCATGCACCAACAGGACTCCTTCATTAGGGTGACAACAGGGAAAATTCATGTTCTAACTCACTATGTCCTCATGAAAGAGAATGGAAGTTTTGAGTTGGAAAAAGCACCTAGATAAAAATATAAATAAGAGGTAGCTCTTGAAAAACAGAGGTGAACTAGACAGAGACTGAGCTAAAAACGGCCAATAGGCCACAATATGATGGACAGACAGGAGGAAATACAGACCTTCGTTCACCAGCAGCAAGGAAAGGTAAGCTATGGTTCCTGAAGGTGTGCATAAGCAAACTGCCTGACAGCAGTCCAGTGTAAAGGATAAAACAAGAAGCAAAGACGTTGTGCAAAATCCAACCAAAAGCCTCAAGAATGGAAGGAGGTGTTTTAAAACCAGCAAGGGGGGGGGGGGGGTGTTTCAAGGTTCAAGGTTGCAAATTTGATTGAATGGAGGTTGAATGGAGGTCATGATAAAAGAGAAATTATAAAATCCACCCCCCAAAAAAAGCACTTAAACAGGACTAGATTCAGAACCCACAAAGGGGCAAAGAAAATAACAGATGTCCT